CCCCAAAACCCCAAAACCCCAAAACCCCAAGAGGATCAATAAAGAGATTCATGGTTGGATGAAAATTATTGAATACGCGATTATTTACTAAAATTTTAGAGAGTCAAGATATGTGAATTATGGTTAAGTTTTTGAAGTAAATAAACTCGAAGTTAATAAATATTAAAGTATGAGTAGCCTCATCATAAGTGAGAAGCTTTGCTTACTTGCAGATTCAGTAATTCTGCTTTCATTCTCTTGTCTTTTGAGCGTGTTATCCTATTCTTGCCAAATTTGCAGAAGCATGAAGGAGATCACCGATATTGAATGCTGAAGCAATAGATTTATTTTCAGCTCTGTTCTTGGATTTCTTGTTCTTGGAGTTCTTGGAGTTCTTCTTAACGATTTCAGCAATCTTTTCATAAACGATTCTCTGTTATTCGGAGAATTCTAATTCAAATTCCTCTTGAGAGGTTACTTTTTCTAGTTTAGCATTAATTTCTTCGTAAATTTCATCTTCATTGGCTTTCTTGTCATATGAAAGATAGAGGTCAATGAGATTTTCAACTCTTTCTAAATCATACTCTGATGGTTCCCATTTTTCTTCTTATTCTTATTTAGTAGCAAGATATTCATAGTATTCATCTCTGTATTCGTTTAGGGAATTGTTCAATTGATCTACATAGTAGTATAGTTGTCTGTATGTGCAGATATATCTAGCATTGAAGTAGAAAATGCGTCTTGCATCTTCAATTTCATCTAAATATTCTGGTAATATAGCTTGAGCAATTTCAACAGCTTCGTTAAAGAGGCTGTTAACAGTGTTGTTGTCGTCTTCAGTCATGTTGTAATAGACTTGCTTCATGATGCATTAGGAGTAGGCTGGGTCAGAATAGAATGATGGAACCTCTTAATCATCGTTTGAGTGTCCATATCCATATCCGTGTTCTGAATCGCAATGACTTTCGTATCCATAACCATTGTCTGAATAACTTTCATAACCATAGTTGTGATTTCCATATCCATAACCATTATAAGCATCATCTTGATAATATGATCCATAACCATAATTTTAGTTTTCATATCCGTAACCATAGTCTTAGTTTCCATAACCATGGTCATTATAATTGCTGTAGTAGTTACTATAATAGTTTCTCTAGTAGCCATATCCATCGTCATAATAGTTGTTTTGGTAGCTATATCCATTGTCGTAATCGTTGTTGTAGATGCTACTGTAATAGTTGTTCAAGTAGCCATATCCATTGTCGTAATCGTTGTTTTGGTAGCTATATCCATTGTCATAGTCATTGCTGTAGATGCTACTGTAATAGTTGTATCCGTTGTCGTAATCGTTGTTGTAGAGACTACTGTAATAGTTGTATCCATTGTCATAATCATTGCTATAGATTCTACTATAATAGTTGTTCTAGTAACCATATCCACGACTCTCGTCATAAGAATCATATCCAGACTAATAAATGTCATAGCCTTAGCTTCCATCATATCCATAGTTGTCGTAGCCACTTGATCCATAGATATAGCCATTGTCATAATCATTGCTATATCTATGTACATATCCAGAGTCATACCCATCATTGTAATGATCATTATCATATCTTACATCGTTTTGATATGGGTAATAATTGTCTTCACTATTAGTAAATAGGTAAATAAAATCGATAAGAATCTTTAAATTAAACATACACATTAGTTCTAAGGCGAAGTTTGCTTTAGATACCGCTCTTATTAAGAGCTCTGAGTTTAGAAGAAGTTGAAGCTTTGAGAGTTAGAGCAGATCCGAGGAAGAGTGCTACTGATGCTGTGACAAAGATTGGTCTCATTTGCATTTTTTTATTATTTATTAAGGTTAGAAATTAGCAAATCATTAAATGCTATTGAGATCTCAAAATTTAATGAGCCCTCCAATCAAATAAATTAAAACTCTTAATACGTTCTGACTGATTTTATATTTACCATCTTAGATATATATATTTAATATGATATTAAAAGTAATTATTGCAAATGATAGATATTCTGATCTATGGGGTTTTGGGGTTTTGGGGTACGGGGTTTTGGGGTTTTGGGG